TTGGGACGGGAAACGCTGATTTGCTTTAAAATCCTATGCTGTAGCACTTGAACAATAATCGTTGTATTAGTAGAGGAGAGGGAAAACATGACCGAGAGAGATGAACGCACGCACACGCACCACACACACACACGCGCGCCGTGCGCATACACACACTAACTAAAACTAGCAGAGGGCACTCACGGAGAGAGCATACCTCCGCCAGCGACATACGCCATACGCCATACGACTCACGAACACACGAATAACCACGATATACGCCAGCGTACATGTTGCTCGATCGCCGCTCAGTCAGCAGCAGCCGGCTGTGGCTGGCTCGCTCTGCTGACGCGCTAATATCGATCGCGTCACACACACGCCACGCACGCGACGCACGCACGCACGCACACCACACACACACACACACACACAACCACACACCAGCACACACACGCTTAAACGTGTACACGACGCACAGACCCGCATCACATACCTCCCCTCCACTCCGTGGGCGGAGTAAAAATAAGATAGCATGTAAGAGTATTATTAGAGGTCAGTCTGAACGTATATTGTAATTATAATTTATAAGTTGTTAACACCCTTTAAGTGTGCCTACCTTTCCGCCTGGGAAACAGCATCATCGACAAATGATGGTCCAACTTGGGATCCCAAGGAAATAAAACCTTACATCGATTTATCAAATTAACCACAGGTTTTATATGGATTGAATTTCGACACTTAATTTTTCGATGAAAGTGGTCCAGCTTGTAGGCTACCGTCAGCTGGGGCTACTTTGAACAGCGGGGCAACATTGAACACCCGGGGCCAAAAAAAATGAAAATGAGAATTATGGCTATATGGCAATCTTATTGACAAATTATTTTTGCATATTTTCTGTTGATGAATAAAATATTTTACAAAGTATTTGAATATTTAATACATGAAATAGGAGTCCCGCAGTAAATTGCAAATCGCTGACTTGAAATTGTAAAAAAATACACACACAACGTTCAAAATAGCCCCTAACACAGGGGTTTCTTTGAACAAATAAAAATCCAAAAAAATTATCACATCACTTTAACCAATCTGATAATTTATACAACCATTCTTTTGATTCAAGTATAGCCCCAATATAGCTCACCATTCAAAGATTTCATTATACCATGTGCAATGATTTTTAAAAAAATATCTGAAAAGTGTTCAAAGTAGCCCCAGCTGACGGTACATCACTCATTTTTGGGCGATCCCCCTATTATTTGCAAGAATCTTCTTCTTCTTTACCTTTTCTTGCAAATGATGGAGGGGGGGGGTGACCCCCCACCCCACCCATCATTTGCAAGACATTTGCAAGATGTTTCTTTTTCTTTTTCTTTTTCTTCTTCTTCTTCTTCTTTTTCTTTTTCTTTTTCTTTTTTCTTTTCTTTTTCTTTTTCTTCTTTCTTCTTTCCTTTTCTTCGCAAATGATAGGGGGGGCGACCGCCCCCCCCCTGCCCCCCTGTGGCGCCGCCCCCTGCATGTAACCCTTCCTTATACGTATTAGGTGATTATGTCTTTTAGACTCGCATGTAAGAATCGTAGAATTGCTAATCTTCTGCTAGAGAGGGAGCGATCGCGCACTGAGACTGTCTTACAAACCTGCATCAGATCATCGGAAGTCATCACATATTGCTGTTGACAGTCGCTCTACGGCTTCTCTATGACCTCCCGATGGCCGCGTGCGTGCGTGCGTGCGTGTGTGCGTGCATGGAGTGTGTGCGTGCGTATGAGAGATATCTGTGCGTACGTCTGGGCATGTGTGTGCGTGCGTGCGTGCGTGTGTGTGTGCGTGTGTGGGTGTGAGAGAAAGGAGGCGCGTGCGCGAGCGCGTGTGTGTCGCGCCCACCTACTAATAAGCCCGCGTCGCTTCCACTAGATACCTATAGACACATGTCTTAGCTATACTCTCTGTGAATATTGAGTTTGTTAAAAGCACGAATAGTTTAATTAATTACCAAAATGTACGCACGGTATCGCTCATAGGCTAATATATACGCGCGGCTATGGCCCGTAGGATAGTGTACTAACTCTAATATCTCGCGAACGATTTGTTACATTTTCTAAAATTCTAGATACATATAAACACATGTCTTAGCTATGGTCTCTGTGAATTTTGAGCACGAATAGTTTAATTCATTACCAAAAATATACGCACGGTATCGCTCATAGGCTAATATATATACGCGCGGCTATGGCCCGTAGGATAGTGTCACTAGCTCTAATATTTCGCGAAGGATTTGAGTTAAGCTACAACTGTGCCAAGTTTGAGACTTTTGTCACTTCTGTAACGATTCGGCCCATATTTTGCACTAAAGGTAGGGGCACACGAGCGATTTTTATCGGCCCGATCGCCGCGAATTTAAAATCGCTCGAAAAATTGCCCGTGTGGCCCGTTCACGTCGACGCCGATTTTAATCGCCCGTACGAATCGCACCGTATCCAAAATGTTAGATATTTTCGGGCGATTATTTACGCCGGCGATTATTTACTGGCAAATTCGGTCGTGTGCCGTGTCCGGCGTATTTTGTCGCCCGATCGATTTTTCTAAACCAATCGGACGTTTGTTGATATCATGTGATGCATCATGTGATCATGTGATTCCGTCGAGTGGCGTACGCGTACGCTCTCAAATTCGCTACGTGTGCCCCTTCGTGATCGGGCGATTAAATTCGCTGGCGATTTTAATCGCCGCGATCGGGCGATAAAATACGCTCGTGTGCCCCTAGCATAAGGGACCTGACTACTTCCGGGTTGCTGAGTAACCGAATTGACGAACAGCGCCGCTAGTGGCAGGTGCGCGCATAGCCGGTGTCTCTACGCTCCTCTCGTAACATTAACATTAGTCGCAAGTGTTATCTTAGCATTAACATTAGCATTAACTTTACGATGTTTCTGACGTAATACCAGCAGTGAGCATACCTGAACTTAATCACACGGCGCAATGTCTGATCTCTGGCTCCGATATCTCGCTCCCAGCGTCGCAACTCTTCCTCTGTATACACACTCACACGAGTTCGTCCTTAAATAGCGGCATGCCGACGAGTCACGGCGCAGTACGCATGGTCGGGCGTTTCATTAGTGGGAGTTGGGCAAAGGGAAACAGCGGAAATCCCAGTAGCTTGATTGATGCGGTCAATAACTAATTATTTTCGCTGAGCATTCTCATTTGCTCAAGCAAATCAGTAGCAGAAGTGCGGCGAGGCAAGCTTATTGGCGTACCTTGTAGCTGTGTCGGTAGGAAGGGGGAACAATTCACCGACAGGAAACTGTGACGTGAATTAATTAGAGTGTTGAGATGAGACGCGTGTGCGGAAGGGATGTGCAATCGCAACGCGATATATAGATAGTTCACTAACTAAGACACGCGAGGCTAGAGGTGACACGTAGGTCAACCAGTGATAGGCGACATACATGTGACTCGTGACTCGTGACAAATAACGTTGCAAATCGCACGGTGATTGCTTTACAGATGAAGGATAAACGGGTGTTACGCTGACGGATCACAATGTGACAGGCGATAGGCGATATGTGACATGCAATAAGTTGACAGGTGATTAGTGACAAGGTTGATAGGTGACAAATAGCAAGCGAGCCAGGTGATATGTGACTGGTGGTAGGTTACTAGGTAGTATAGGCGACAGGTAACGAGGCTTCTCTCTCAATTAAGCACACGTGTGTATATAGATATATAGATATAGAATATATCAAGAGCGTATTAAGAAGAGAGCGTACAATGGTGAAATGCTGAAACCATGTTGCAGTATTAGTTCGAAATAATAAACTTTCGCCCGTTTTATTTTGACGATTTGGAGCATTATTGATCAGCCATCCTACCTTGTTAATATAAAACAACCGCATGTCCCTACGATGCCCCTACGCTGAGATAGTGAGAGCGGTGAAAATCTAGTATTTTTCGCCGGAAACCACTCGAGATACCTGCTGACTGCGACTGTCTCTCGCTTTGAGATAACTTCGGGAAACCTCGCGTGCTTCCGTCAATGATTGACAAATGGAATGAATGACGTCGGTTATTGATTGCCATAGTGATGACCCCCGCCTGTGTCCACCTCACGCTGGATGCAAACTCCACGAAGATGGCGCTCTCGCTCTGGCTCAATTCTGATCCTGAGTGTGGGAAGGGGGCGCTGCATGCAGTTTGCGCTAGATGTTGCAACGGCAGGTAGAATGCGATATGATATGACTACTTTTTTTTTTTTAGGGTGGTTATAGGGTTAGGGTTTAGGTTAGGTTTAGGGTTTAGGTTAGGTTAGGGTTAGGGTTAGGGTTGTTTTTTTTTAAGTGCCTAGTAGTCATATCCTAAGTGCCTAGTAGTCATATCCTAAGTGCCTAGTAGTCATATCATATCGCATCTAACTGCCGGGTGCGCTAGATGTAGTAAACTCTGTAGTACTGACGTAATGAGTCAGCGCTACCATGGCGCTACACAGCGCTATGGCCCAAAAATACAAGATTTTCACCGCTCATTATCTCAGCGTAGGGGCATCGTAGGGACAAGCGGTTTGTTTTATATCAGCAAGGTAGGACAGCTGATCATGAGCAATAATACCGCAAAGAATCGTCAAAATAAAACGGGCAAAGTTTCTTATTTCGACTAATACTGCAGCATGGTTTCAGCATTTCACAGTTGTACTCTCTCCTTCTTTATACGCCCTCGATATATATATATATATATATGATTCATTACACATAGGCTGGTCATAGGATTTAATGAGACGAACCCATGTATATTGAATTATATATATGGCCGACCCTGCCATCGCTGCACGGTAACGAGAGAACAGCCGCCGAGTCTTGGTAACAAAGCCAGTTTCAGGGGCGGATCCAGAGGGTTTGGGTGACCAGTTTCCATAGTTCTAGTCACAGCTAGGGGGGTCCGGGGGCATGCCCCACGAAATTAAAAAAAAAAATAGGCTATATTTGGTGCATTCTGGTGAATTTTGAGGGTCAATTCTGAAGCTGCTATAATGGCAGCTGCCTCACCCACGCCACCTAGCTAACAAACACCTGATCGGCAGCCGCACAGTACACTCAGGCGCGGATTTAGGCCGGTTTGCATCGGTCACACGCTTCAGAATTGACCCTCAAAATTCACCAGAATGCACCAAATATAGCCTAATTTTTTAAAAAAATTCGTGGGGCATGCCCGCAGCCGGCTGAAAGGGGTGATAGGATATGTTTACTAGGCACTTCTAATTTTAACATATATTTCAAATTTAATTAGGGTCAGGGTTAGGGTTAGGGTTAGGGTTAGGGATAGGGCACCTTTTAGGGTTTTTGCATCATTCTTTAATATATCGTAAAATATATGTTAAAATTAGAAGTGCCTAGTAAACATATCCTATCACCCCTTTCAGCCGGCTGCCGCGAAGACGTGAAGAATGCCGCTCCCGTGAAATAAACACCGATTGACATCGTTATTGAGGGGACCTACTAGTTTCTATCCAGCACTGGTGACATGATAAACTAGACAGAGGGCACTCAAAGAGAGTGCATACCTCCGCGAGCGTGTAACATGTATACATGTGTATAACAGCCAGCTCGCTGCTGGCTGCTGCTGACTGGACACCCTAAGGCGAGCTGGTGCTGAATCGATCGCGCCAACGCGTGTAACATGTATACAGTGTATAGCTGGCTCGCTGCTGGCTACACACACACACACACACACGAACACACACACGAACACACACACGAACACACACACGAACACACACACGAACACACACCACACGAACACACACACGAACACACACACGAGAGCGATCACATTACCTCCCTGCAACTCCGTTGCGCGGAGGTAATAATTTCACAAGCGTATAGGTTAGCGCTAATGATAATAGCTAGGATAGATCGATAGAATGAATCGATGCTCCTCGGTATTCATGTACGTCCGAGTAATGGATGAATGTGTGCTTTGTAAATAGGCGGCTGGCAGCAAAAAGGAAGTCGCAACCGCGCGATGATTTATTAAATGATTTAGTTGGAGGTTTTGTAGAGGCTTGTCCGCGTACAACGTTGGGGGGAGGGGTGTTGAGGGGTGTTGAGAACGTATAGTAGATGTATAGTCGGGGACGGAAGGTAGTGCAGCTGCGGCCACCCAGCGAATAAAGTAAAAACTAAACTCCAGTTCACTATGCTATTTCGCCTTCAATGACTGCACGTTCGGGAAATGGATTATACACTAATTTCATTCACATTTCCCGTGTAGAATATGAATCACGTTGTAATGTACGTTAGAATTCAACGTTAATTACTTACCGCAAAGCTCTGCGCTTATAATCACCAAAACAAAGGTTTGATAGGTTGTAAATTGTTGTATCCGCATTGGTAATTTGTGCATTTAAAATCGATGCTCAACCAAAAAAAGTGTTATCTTAGCATTAACATTAGCATTAACTTTACGATGTTTCTGACGTAATACCAGCAGTGAGCATACCTGAACTTAATCACACGGCGCAATGTCTGATCTCTGGCTCCGATATCTCGCTCCCAGCGTCGCAACTCTTCCTCTGTATACACACTCACACGAGTTCGTCCTTAAATAGCGGCATGCCGACGAGTCACGGCGCAGTACGCATGGTCGGGCGTTTCATTAGTGGGAGTTGGGCAAAGGGGAAACAGCGGAAATCCCAGTAGCTTGATTGGATGCGGTCAATAACTAATTATTTTCGCTGAGCATTCTCATTTGCTCAAGCAAATCAGTAGCAGAGTGCGGCGAGGCAAGCTTATTGGCGTACCTTGTAGCTGTGTCGGTAGGAGGGGGAACAATTCACCGACAAGGAAACTGTGACGTGAATTAATTAGAAAGTGTTGAGATGAGACGCGTGTGCGGAAGGATGTGCAATCGCAACGCGATATATAGATAGTTCACTAACTAAGACACGCGAGGCTAGAGGTGACACGTAGGTCACCAGTGATAGGCGACATACATGTGACTCGTGACTCGTGACAAATAACGTTGCAAATCGCACGTGATTGCTTACAGATGAAGGATAACGGGTGTTACGTGACGGATCACATGTGACAGGCGATAGGCGATATGTGACATGCAATAAGTGACAGGTGATTAGTGACAAGGTTGATAGGTGACAAATAGCAAGCGAGCCAGGTGATATGTGACTGGTGGTAGGTTACAGGTAGTATAGGCGACAGGTAACGAGGCTTCTCTCTCATTAAGCACACGTGTGTATATAGATATATAGATATAGATATATATCAAGAGCGTATTAAGAAGGAGAGCGTACAATGGTGAAATGCTGAAACCATGTTGCAGTATTAGTCGAAATAATAAACTTTCCCCGTTTTATTTTGACGATTTGGAGCATTATTGATCAGCCATCCTACCTTGTTAATATAAAACAAACCGCATGTCCCTACGATGCCCCTACGCTGAGATAGTGAGCGGTGAAAATCTAGTATTTTCGCCGGAAACCCACTCGAGATACCTGCTGACTGCGACTGTCTCTCGCTTTGAGATAACTTCGGGAAACCTCGCGTGGCGCGTGCTCCGTCAATGATTGACAAATGGAATGAATGACGTCGGTTATTGATTGCCATAGTGATGACCCCCGCCTGTGTCCACCTCACGCTGGATGCAAACTCCACGACAGATGGCGCTCTCGCTCTGGCTCAATTCTGATCCTGAGTGTGGGAAGGGGGCGCTGCATGCAGTTTGCGCTAGATGTGCAACCGGCAGGTAGATGCGATATGATATGACTACTTTTTTTTTTAGGGTTAGGGTTAGGGTTTAGGTTAGGTTTAGGGTTTAGGTTAGGTTAGGGTTAGGGTTAGGGTTTGTTTTTTTAAGTGCCTAGTAGTCATATCCTAAGTGCCTAGTAGTCATATCATATCGCATCTAACTGCCGGCGTGCGCTAGATGTAGTAAACTCTGTAGTACTGACGTAATGAGTCAGCGCTACCATGGCGCTACACAGCGCTATGGCCCAAAAATACAAGATTTTCA